ACTTGCGGTCCATGGGGCCCCGTGTTTTTCGGGGAAAACTCGTGGCCTGTACTGTAGCATAATAATAACACAAGGTATCCAACTCCGAATTACTTGGAGTACCCCCTCCCTCAGAATTGCACTCATTTTTACTTTCAGAGAAAATGCACTAGCAAACTGTTTATACCTATGTCTTCTAAGATAATTTATCTACACAACCATATATGGCATGTTTGTCTTTATTTTCTTTTATTTCCTCAAACAGCGTCAAAACTGACTGGCTAATAATCTGTTTCTAAAATTACATCGGATAAACATAGTAATGTTTGCAGGGAAAATCAGACTTAAACAAATTCTATTTATTCACTTCAATATTTAAACACTGGAATTGAATTTTTAATCCCACTCCTTTTTTTTAGTTTTGCTCTCTGTCCGGGATTAGCACATACCATTTCGTGGTTGAAGTCGACTTTTCCATTCGGCGAGCAGAGTTTTGACGCTGTTTACGGAGATAAAAGAAAATACAGATAAAAATGCCATATATGGTTTTGTAGAAAAATTATCGTAGAAGACAATTGTAGTAAACAGTTTGCCAGAGCATTTTCTCTGAAAGTCAAAAAACAAGTGCGATTCTAGGGAGGGGGGTACTCCGTGTAATTCGGAGTTGGATACCTTGTGTTATTATTATACTATGGGTTAAAAATTTATTCAGAAACAAGTGTCTGTGGGTCATGACCCTTAATGTTAACAACCCACCAGCGGTCAAAGTGGAAAATCACACCTGTCCTCCCGTGTACCAGTACATTTTTATACCTGGGTAGTAAAATTATATTAGATGGTGGAGCAGAGACCGATATCAAACAGAGACTATCCAAGGCAAGAGTAGCATTTAACAACCTACAAACTGTTTGGAGATCGAGTCAGTACACCACTAGCACAAAACTAAAACTATACAAAAGCTGCATTCTACCTATCCTTTTGACGTATGGGTCAGAGTGTTGGAGAATATGGCAGAGAGCGACATGAGCAAGCTGTCGAAATTTCATACAAAGTCCCTGAGAAGGATCTTGAGAATATTTTTGCCCAATACCATCTCAAATCATGACCTTCTCAACAGGTGCCAGCAAGAGGACATGGCCACAATCATCATCAGAAGACGCTGGAACTGGCTTGGCCATGTACTTAGAAGGGTCTCAGACAGCATCATAAATAGAGCTCTCTTCTGGACACCAGAGGGAAAACGGAAGAGAAGAAGGCCCAAAGTCTCTTGGAGGCGAACAGTGGAAGCCGAACTTAAAGAACAAAAGAGAAGTTGGGGCACACTACAAAAGCTAGCCAGTGACAGACAAGGATGGAGAACCCTTGTTACTGCCCTATACGCCAAAGGCGTCACGGGCAGTAAATAAGTAAGTAATATATTAATCATTGAACAATTGCTACATTTACAAGTTTCCTCACAAAAAATCAAGGTACCTTACCAGGCGTTTGTGTAAGATATCAGAGGATGTCATCGAATATATAGTTCTATAAGAAATCACCAGCATTGCTTATTTCACCATTATTTGGTGTTTTTAACTATTTAGAGATTTTGAAAATAGTCACTTTATACTGAATATTATGATCATTTTTTGTATATTACAAAGAGATACAAGACAGATATTCGAGCAACGTGCCGTCAGACCCTGAGTGGGGGACAATGAGTTCTCGGGTCTCTTAATATAAGGGGGAAAACAACGAAAATATACCACATTTCATAATATTCTCTGTACAACAAATAATTAATGTTGGCGTCTTTATCTTAAAAAGGAAAAAAAAAGGTATTTTTCCAAAAAAGTTCAGATAAAAATATTAGACATCTTAAGTTTACAATATATATGCTATATCATAGTACTGTTCAGGATCGATGTCGACACAGTATTGATATGATATTGTCGATATCGCCGATATCGATATCGAGTTCTTTCTTGAACATGTATGGCTATTGTCACTTTATCAGCTGCCTGTGTAGATAATGTAAATGTATGTGAATGTAGATAAAATATATGAATAAAATTATTAAAGACATCGCATTCAAATAAATGGGCTATCGAATATTTGCGAACACATTGAAAAGTGCAACGCAATCAGTTTCTTTTTTTTATACCTTGCAGTGGCAGATTACTGCATGCAACAGTAAGTCTTATACTTTCATGTTAAATACTAAAACCTGATTGGTTTAGACGCATTTAACAATCCGTAATGTTACCCTCAGCGTTAACAACAGACATGACAATGGGTAACATTACGAAAATATCACATGCGTTTAAATCATGCGCGCACGGTTCACCGTAGAATTCTCAAATCGTCAGATTTGCGCCAATAAAAGCTTGCGTCCGATGTAGCTTACTTGAAAACAACAAACGACAGACGAAACATCCTTGCGAGTGCAAACTTTAGATGATAAAGGACTTTTTTAATTGTAAACAAACAATAAAGAGGTTGCTAAATCTTTTCCAAAGCTTTCTTATTGAGAAAAATAGAAGCGGGGAGTTTGAAAGCGTTCTAAGCGTGAACTTAACTTAATCTCCGATTTTTTTTTTTATGACATCCGAAATCAATAAGACATTCAGTATAATAAAATAAATAGTGCACGTTTTTGAGAGTAACAGTTGAAATTGACATCCCTGACGCGTCGGTTGACAATGGTTTTCCTTGGGGTGTCAATTTCAACTGTTACGGTACCCTCAAAAACGTGCACTATTTATATATTGATATATATAATATTATTAATTGTGTCAAGTTCCGAATTATTATATTTTCTATTATTTTAAAGATTCATTATTTGTGTGTGATGTCATAGTTTTTTCCCGTATGAATTAGATACCCCCCCCCCCTTATTTGTAATCTTACATGTGCGATTTTAAATTTATCACAGGATATTCGCAATAAATAAATAATAATTAAATCTAAAAATTGCATATTTTGGCTGCACATAAAATTCTAAAGAAAAAGGGTTAAAAAGTAGTGTAATTTAATAAAAAAAATTTAAGTTATTGTAAATACTTATAAACTTTTGAAATTAAATTACTATCATGGCAAAAATGTCATGGCATTTAAATTTAAATGAAAGGAAAATCTGGGATTTCCCAAAAGTCATTATTTGGTATATTTAAAAAAATATTCGTGTAAGTCACGACATATATACTTATGCATATATTCCTTTCCTAAATAAAATCATGGTTTGTTTATGCACAGTTGCAATTAAATCATTACCTATAGCCGCTTGTCGTAATATCACATGATGTAGCAAGCAATTACACCCACTCACAAGGTATTATTCCGAAATGAAAAGTGCGCCTTGTGCAATATTATAATTTCTTAAACACATGTATATGTCATTGTTATGGTTGAATCTAAAATTTCAGAGAGAGAGAGAGAGAGAGAGAGAGAGAGAGAGAGAGAGAGAGAGAGAGAGAGAGAGAGAACGCATATAATTCTAACACAGGCCAGATCATTCGAGGAACTACATGAAATGTATTGTTAACATGTGTAATGTGATCTTCATCTGGAGACATGTACTATATTTACAGTTTTGAATTATGGTATGTTATGTACTTAGAAAAGCACCATTGACATACAATATAGAGATATTAAAACATGATTAACCATGATTGATAGGTTGCTTAAAAGAATAATCATGTGTTTATCTAAAATCCCCTAGATCCTCCTGAGCCCTTACCCCTGTTCATCCCACTCAAGTCATTAAGAGTCTTAAAGAGTTAAGTAAGAGCCCCATAACAACATGCTTTATCCGGCCTCCACTTCGTTTAATCAATAGCAGCTCTACAACCTCGTGAAACAAGTACATTGAATCGCTCTCTGTGACTTTAAATACTTGATGCTACGTCATACTGTTACGTCATATTAAGGTTGTTGACCCCCTTTATACTTTAAACATATTTTATTGAGTAATTCAATAAGGATTGGGCAACAGGCAAAGCCTATGCACACCCTCTCCTTGTATAATAGGTCAAGACATAGACATTGAATAATAATGCTTGAACATGGTAATAAACTTGCTAATAATAAAATATAAAGATTCACAATCAAGTATTATTCATCAGTATCATAAAAAAAGATGATGTATACATATTATTTACATACTGTTCCAGCTTTAATATAAATATTGTAAAAAAAATTATATGCATTCAACAGAGTATTAAATATTACAGTGTACTCAACTAAGTCTCTTAGTAGATTTTATAAATTCATGTACATATGAAAATATTTTACAGTTTGTTTGATAGGAACATTGACTTTTTCCTCTTAACAGAGTGTCTAGTTCAGAAACAACATCAATATCATTTTTTTTTTACCAGTAAATTTCTTTGAACAATATATGATGGACATTTGATAAAGTAATGTTCAGTATACTCTGTCTAAAATCCTTAAAATACATGTAGAATTTTTGACCCCCTTTCTTAAATCAAAGGTATTTTTAACAAGAACAAGTATTGTTAAAAAAAATATTCTCATCTCAGTTCTGATGAGAAAAAAGGGACGTTTTCATTTGAGTGAAAGTAATATCATTTAAATCGTCACACAAAGCGTCCAAATAAAAGTAGATACAAAAAACTGAATTATGATCAAGGCATTCTCTATCTTAAAGAAATTGTCTTTCGCAAAATATACATTTACAATAAATAGCTAATAGTATTTTAATTTATCTGCTTTAAATAAGTATCACCTCAGAAAATTGTTCGATGTTGAACTCTGCAGCATTTTTCATTATTGTTATTATTATTATTATTATTTTTTTTTGATAAATTAGCACCGTTTTTCACCTTTGACATATTACGTAAAAGATTTTCATTTAATTGTCCATTCATTTTGCAAAATCTTACAGTTCTCGAAATATGAATTATTAATGCATAAAAATGATTGTCAGTTGACAGACTTGCATTCTTCGACACTATAAATTTTCCAAAATAGAATAAGGGATTTTCCAATAAAAAGTTAAACACTGACGAACATAGAAAATTCCAATATAACTCTCTATATAAACAGATTTTATCAGCTTAAAGTACATTATTTCCAAAGGATAAAAGCTACAAAAATGTACAAAGCTATAAGAAAGGTAAGTTCTTGTAAGATTTATCCCTAGCTAAAGTTTTTTCTTCAGAACTTTTCGTATACCAGAATAATCATTAAAAATATCGTTATATACGACGCATGCACGTGAAAATTTCATTAAAAATACACAATGGAATACTGTAAACGTACTTTTCAGCACAAGTTATTTATTCCGCCGAATCAAAATTTTGGTTTAATCCGCGGGTGTAATTTTACGCGGATTTCTTAGATTGTCACTATATGCCTTAAATGCAGCTTAAGTACGCTGCGACAAATTTCCGCGGAAAATTTGTAACAGCGTAAACATAGCGTAAATAAATCTGAGGCGGAAAAGTACGTCTACAGTATGATGTTAGTAATATATACACATAAATTATATAAAGTATTTGATTCTTTATATAGATGAACTTGGTCCTCGTTTTGATACTATCAACATTGGTTACAATTGTTAACCCACAAAGTCTGCCAATACAATCCATTGTAAGTTTACCTCCCGTCCACATATTTGGAGGAATCGGTGATAGTGGACCAGAGGTTGGGGTCAAAATCAAACCCAAAGATTCTGGCTTTTCAATGCTTGGAAAAACAAACGTAGACGGACATTGGATCGCTAACATCGGTTGGAAAAAGGACAATGTAGATATTTCAGGTCATGCAAAAAATGTCGGTAATGGTGTGGAAGCCGGTGTCAGAGTAAAAATAGATATCGGCGGATCCGGAAAAAGCAAACCAAGAAGAAGATCCTGGTTTAGAAGGGTCTTCAGAGGTTAAATTGTCTGATAGTAATTTTGATTATAAAATGTTGACTTACTAGAAATACATGTGTACATGACACAAACTGCTAATGATTTGAATATCTGTTAAATAAAATTTAATTTATAATAATTTTTATTGTCTTGTTTTATTAAAAGTTGTGACTACAAAAATTCGGAGAAAAAAAACCCACACTTTAACATGCAGAATATGAAAAAGGCACATTGAAAATCATGTAAAAAATAAACATTGTAATCCTTTGTAAAAAATGAAAAATATAGTCTAGTGTTTGATAAGTTTAAAGAAGACGTCAGAAACGCAATATGAAATCTATGATTTTATTAAAAAAAAAATATAAATTAAAAAAAAAAAAAATGGGTATAAAAAAGTAAATCTGTTATATGACCGTTTAACCACGATGAACAATTTAATAATAATATATCTCTTCCTTATTCTGGTAAAGAATGCTTCAAAAACATTGAAATATACCTGTACTTTGTTTAACAGGTTAAGTATTGCATTATATTGTGCAGGAAACTGTAGTCAATATTTCAAATATATATGGTAGAAGTTTTGCCAATGAATATGGGACAGGATAATATGATTTAAGAGACGTTTAGAGATCCCAGGCTGAAGGGTTGTTGACATAATTTATATTGTAATAAATCTGAAATAAAAACAATATTTATGAAGTAATTTATGGAGATTTTTGAATTTTTGAAAAAGGTAATTCAATTCGGATATAAGGAATTATTTGTTCGTCCTTTAAGCCACCACGAGTGCTGGAAGGTAAAATTCCGAATCAACCTGTCGGTCTCTTCAACCCAAATTTGCCGATGAAGGAATACATGCATATGGCGTGAATATGAGTCAACTACTTAATCATAATAAAAGTTCAGTATATGCATTCCACCATATTTCAAGTTGAAGTCTCACCCTGCATTTACTACAGATAATCCCCAATTGGTGCTTCCAAACTTTTAAATTATAAACAACTTACAGTTTCTAGATATTGAACATCTAAAACAAAATCCTCTTAGGTGTTTTTGCTTTTCTTCTTCTTTCAACTACGGTCCAGCTGATGATGTAAATAAAGTTGAAAATGACGGCCTAAAATCAATCATTTTAAAACGTCTTATAGAAATACACTGAATTTTTTTTATTCTGACGTAGACAGGCAATCTGCGAACCATACATCCTTCCGTTTTCACTTAATTGAAAGTGATAAAAGAACAAAAAAGACTGCATGAACGATATGTTTTTTTTTTTTCCAGCAGACAAGGTTTAAAACAATATTGTCTTTGTAAGTCTCATTATTATAACTATAACTTTCGAAGAACTTGGTTTTACTTCTACATCTGGGAATCCAACTTATACTCACAGTTCACACTCTAAGGATGGAGTTCTTCAAAATCACCTTTAAGTCTTTTAAACCTTTAACGTTCTACCCTACCTATGTTTGTCTTCATCTGCAATCAAAATTTGGAAGAAACACTTCTCTTTATGAAGATATACAAGAGGATTTTTTTTTGAAATCCTATGAAATGTCAATCCCACACTATAAATATCTAAATATTCTCTATAAAAAATTCAACATTATCATTTTTTATAATAGCCATTTTTTCTTGATATATGTTGTATTTAATGTTTGACGTTATAAATGACGTTAAAATAGTTATGTATAACAACGCCATGGCTTCAAAAACGTCAGTATAAACCAACACCATGCGTTACGTTGAAACAGAACTCGTATCATTTATGTCAATTTAAATCAGATATAATGGAAATTACAAAATCTACGAAACGAATTTATGTCACGTGTCTATTCCAATGTAAAATGATTAAAAATTGATGCATTCCTTCGTTTTTTTCCAAATCTTTGAAGTTTATGCGATATGAAATCTGAACAATTTCTGGTTACAAATTATAATGACGAATTTGATTGATGAACACTGATGCATACTAATCAGGCCCGTAGGAAGCAATTTCACTTTGAGGGGGCACAATTGTACATTTTCAGTTAGGGGGCACTATCAACTACCAAAATTCCTTGACAAGCAAAAAAAAAAAAAAAAAAAAAAAAAAGGTCATCAGACGTTATTATTGAGGGAGCACAAGCATACATGTACAATAGCTATGTTCTCTATAGTATTCTATATATCGGCAAAATTATTGGGGGGGGGGGGGAGACACGGCCCCCGTTTTTTGTTTATTAATTTTTTTTAAAAAGTGCGTTCTTCCATCAATTTAACGCACGGATCAATATGAGAAATTTGTCACACTTTCACCGAATATGCGAATAAGGTATACAGATATAAATATCAAGAAAATGTTTCCATTTCTTTGAACAATAAAAATATTTTACATAAATATATCTAAAAAAATGTTTATAGTTAACAAACCATTTATAAAGTAATTTTTTCCATGCTAATAACTATACGCAATTAACTTATTTATGTGCATAATTCAATATATTTAAACAAAAAAATTGTATCCCTTTTAGTAGATTAGAACTTTACAATCCCTTGTTAAATTGTCAAATAAGTATTAACATAAAGAAAGAAACAATTTTAATGTTCATTACTAAAGTCTACCTTAAAAGCAATGTCCTGAGGAATGATGACTCAAGTTGACAAAGGATGAGTCTACTTACTTCAAAATATTTTTACATCTTATATATCTTTTACATAACATTCCACGCCAAGTTAAAGACGCTTCATTTTTAGTTGTGTAGATTAAAGAGGTTGTCTCCTTCGGAACATTCATATATATATATATATATATATATATATATATATATATATATATATATATATATATATATATATATATATATATATATATATATATATATATATATATACATATTTGTCAATATTTAGAGTTCTCATGCCAACCACTAGTTACAAAATCTACATTGATATGTTTTAATCTTTTCACATTGCAGTACAGGCAAATTAACAATATTTGTCTAACATTTGAACTAGAAATTTTAGAAACAAGCATGCAGGGTGTAAGCTTTCAAGTAAAGCAGATATTTTTTTTATGCCATTGACAACAATTGATAAAATTTGACCGTGTTGAAATTTATGCACCGGTTAATTTTTCATAACTTTAATATTTAAAGTTTCATCTTTTATGCTTAAATGTAACTTTATGTAATGAAACAATATAGATCATGCAGCATTTGTTATGAGGTAGAAAAATACAAAATATAATGAGTTTTAAAACCTGCACGCAACTCTATTTTTATTTAATTTAATACTGTCATATTATATAAATTATCTTATTTTGTCTGCTAAAAATCTTGGGGGGGGGGGGGGGGGCGGAACTATTCCTGTATATTTTTTTTATTAATTCAACAAAATTCAGCCTTTTTTGGAAATTAATATGTTTTTTTCCCTTAAAGATTCCTCGAAGATATGATATCGTTATTCTGGCCAACTCTTGTCAGTTTCATGTCTATGATGGTAATGATAATGACATCATTACAATGGAAGAAATGAGCAGTCTTTTTGAAAACCCGGAGCTCGGCACTCAACTATTCAATGATCTAGATGTTAACAAAGGTATTGATTTGTTCATTTGTTCCTCTAATTGAAAAAAAAAAATGTTTATGAAATTTATTTTCACATTGTTTATTTTAATTATTTTGAAAAGTTAATAAAATTATCATGCGTGACATGAATTTTGAATGATATTGATGACGGTAAATGATGAAAAAACATATTTTGATATACAGGTAAAATTTATGAAAATACATTTGTATTGATAATTTTGTCTATTTAGGCGTTATAATCTTTCTTTCCTTTTAGACGGCAGAATCGCCAAGTATGAATTTTCTCGAAGAGTTCCATTTGTAATTAAGGAGTGTTCAAATAACCAAAGGATCGCCAGGAAATTATTGCCTCATTAAGAATAAGGGAATCACTAAAAAAAATCATGTGGATTTTTCAGAATAGTGAAGTCACATGCAACATAGTCCCAAATATTTTTATACATTGTGTTACTTCGTGCAATAAAATTTGTATTTAATATCCAACTGCTTTATGTTTAAGTTAATTTGTATTGAAACCAGAAAGATATAGTTTTTCAAAACCACATTGACTTTTACTAAGTATCATTTTTCAATTGTCACAGAATGTGTCTTTATTCATGGGAAGTAATTTACTCATTAACAATATAAGATTGATTAGTGAAATAGATGCAATGAGTATTGAACCTATAAAACCTCTCTCTCTCTCTGCAATTCCTTCAAATTTATACTTTTTTTTACATCGCTTGTTGACAAATTCTGTGTTTTGCAAATATGTGGGTCAAGGCTTTATATTTCTCTTTTTTATTTGAATCCCAAGAGAATTTTCCTTATTCTCTGCTCAGTTACACAATATATAAAAAAAAGGTTTTCTGTTAGGAAGTTATGGAAGTTTAAATAAAAACTTAATTTACTTCATATCCTGTAGGTATAAATTTCATTTGGTAAGCGTCCGATATCTGATGTATTCACAAATAGAATTAGAGATTCCTCGAATTGATGATGTCATAAATAACATAACTTGATTTGCACGACAAAATTGGAATGAAATGAGGTTCACACAAAATCGATCCTAATTTATTCAATTATATTCCCACGAAAACATAATTTAAGCAAAGCTGGACATGACCTTCAAAATTAAAACAGACTACAGCAATACTTTGACAAAATGACGCAAAAAATTAATAATGAAGTGTTTGTTTGGCGTTGACTAAATAAACAAAACTAAATACACATAAACATATCATAAATATGGATTAAAACAGTTTGTTACAATTTGCATATATTCTCGTTTGTTGTCGTTATTGTTTTTGATTTTCTTGGTTTTTATTTTTTTATTTTTTTTTTACAATTACGAGGATTGTCTAGTAAAATCTAAGACAAGTTGTCTAGAATGGAAAATAATCATCATGTTAGGCTATTATGGGAGTCCAAATCAAACTTTTTACTTAAAAAGTCGACCATGTTATTTTTAAAAAGTCCTAAATCTTCATTTAGACAGTTGTCAGGTGAGCCGTAACGTAATCAAACATTGCCTTTTTGTCTGTTGTGCTTACCACCATTTCATTTTAACATCTCGGGAAACTGTCAAAAGTGA